TCCTTTATATAAGTTTTTCTGATGTTCTGCAAAGTATGCTTTTAATTCTAAATATTGATATATTTGTTCTTCTTTATCATAACATTCTGGGCACATCATTCCCAAGAACATATCCATATTTCTCATATATTGTTTCTCGAATCTAAAGATCCATGCATGTTCTGCGGGATTTAGTCCTTTTTGAGTCTTCCATTTTTCTGATTGCGGTTCTCTTAGTAATGTTAATCCATCTTTCATTAGTCTGTATTTTTTAACCTTTTGTTTTAGTTGCTGTTTCTCTCTTCTTAATTGTTTTATTTCTTTTGCAAGTTTTCGGATAAGAACATTCTTTGAAATTCCTCCTTCTTTATAGTTTAATAATAGAATCAATTCCTTTCTTACTTCTTCTTTGTCTTTTTGTAATTGATCATATAGTCCTGGCCATATGTGCATTTCTATACCATCTTCTTCTTCTGATAAAATTCTCTTTCCTTTTTTTGTTAATGTAATTTCTTCTATTTCTTCGTCTATTTTTATTTGATAAGTGTTACTAGTTGAGTTATAATCTATTCCTATATTTTCTTCTTCTTCTTGTATCCTAAATCCTCCTGTTAAAGTGTTTAGTTCTTTTTCTTTTGATAATTCTTTTTTTAGTTCTTCATTTTGTTTTTCTATTTTCCAAAATATATCTGTTAATTCTTTTGTCTCTTTCTTTGATTTTTCCTTTAACTTTGTCAAAGTTTGTTGAATTAATTCATTGTTTTCTTTTAATTCTTCAGACATCTTCTTTTCTTGTTCTAATTCTTTTTTTAATTGTTTCTCTTTTCCTTTATATGCTAAAAAACTCTTTTCTATTTTTTCAAGTTCTGCAAGTGCTTTCTTTTGTCTTTCTTGTTCTTGGTCATTTTTCTGTTTAAGTTCCAATCTTAATCTCACTATTTCTTGTTCTTTTTCTTGAAGGGTTTTGACAAGGTCTTATTGTCTAAATACTCGGTTCATCATCATTTTTTTGATTGATTTTTTATAAGTTCTTTGCCCCCCCTTTTATAATTTTTTTTATTTATCACTTTATATTCTTATTCTTTCCTAACTGTATTAAGTCATTAGTTGCCTTTAATAAACAAATGGCTTCTTCTTTGGATATATTTCAATAATTTTTTATTTAATCTTTCCAGTTGTTTCAGTAATGAGGAAATTTGTTGTTCCTTCATTTTTTTTTATAGTGTTTGAATTTTCAAAAAACTTATTTTCTTTATATTTTTTCTTAACTTATCAATTTGTTGTTGTTTATGAAATTCATCTGCCCTTTTAAGTTCTTCTTTTAGAAATTGAGATAACTCATGCATTTTTAATTCATTTCCTTTTAATTGATCTTTAATTGTTTGTGATTTTGTTTCTTCCTGTATTCGATTCCTTAATACTATTGCATGTGTTTTATCAATGCTTATTCTTGCATAGATAAAATGTTTATTAACTATATTAGTTTGATGCCATAATAGAATAAGGTTTAGTACTCCTTCACAAATTCCTTGTAGGCTTTCAAACATATTATTGAGGTCAATAGATATTTCCTTTTTATACCATCTTCTTAAATTTTTTACTTGTTCATGAACAAGTATTTCATGTTCTAAGATTTTTTCAAAATTATCTTGGGTATTCATGATTGTTGTTTCTTATGTGATCTCGAATGTCCCAAAGTCCCCTTCTTATAGTTTTCATTATTCTTAATTTTATCCTATGGTGCTTATCTTTACTCTATTTTTTAATTCCTATTCTTCTTTTTGTTCTACTAATTCTAACAAAATTTTTAGTCTTTCTATAGGCCATCCACTCACATTATTTATTATCTCATTTATTCCCATTTCCTGATTAAGAATCTCCTCCTCTTTCTTTATATTTTGATTATTTAGTTTTTGGGTTCTTAACTCTTGCTGTTGTTCTTTTTCTGTCTCTATTGTTTTTATCTTCTTATTCTCATTGTTCCAATGTTTTTCCATAAATTGCTCAAATGTTACAGATTGACAATCTATAGTTATTTGAGGTTTAACACATATTATTTTCACAGGTCCCATCCATTTATCTGTGAGTTGTCTAGTTATTCTTGTTTCTTCCTGCGTTTTAGATGGTATTCCCTTAAAATAATTGATATCCATTTTTTTTTCACCTTCTTGGGGTATTTTCTTTAGAGTATTTATAACCTTTTATATCTTTTTCATTACCGTGGTCTCTTCGGAGATTTTGGGTTAAAATAGATAAGTCATACAGTCAACAAAAAAGAAATTTTGTATCAGTATAAAGCTCTATTAGAGATGTTATAATGTTGAGTTTTTTAATGAAATAAATATGTCCCTAAACCATTAATTATATTATTAGTGATTTTTTCAGCTATCTGCTGAGTTGTGCTATTAGTCAATATTTTATCTATGTTGGCTTCTACATATGTCATTATAAAATCTGTTAGATATTCAGTAAACTTCCCTTTTAATTGTGATATTATAAATTCACGAATTATCTCTGTATATCGTTTCCTAAAATGGCTTTTAAGAAATTTTCCGGTTTTATCTTTTAAAGCAGTGATTATCAAATCCTTTAATTTATTTCCTAATATAGATGTCAATGTTGTCATTAAGGCTGTCTGTATAAAATTTATCTGTGGTTCGTGTATCTCGT